CACCAGCACCAAAATCCGGAGTGGAAACAAGGTTTGAGCTCGTAATCAGATCAAATTCATACGATGCGATTAATTCTTACGATATATTTATTTATTTAATTTGTATGATATTCGTTCTCAATAACACACTCTTAATAAATTGAACACACTGCAATCTTAATCCGATTCAAGTTTTTTGACAACACAATTGTGCTCTAAGTGAACCATAAACATGGAGAAACCACAAACACGGACGAAGCACGAGGTAATATGAACTTACGATATATGTCTGGATTTATTCTAGTTTTAATTAGTGATTAAGAGTTTGAATCGGGTTATTTACACATGATTGAGAGACTGGTGTATATGTGCATGTCGTATATAATGCATGTAAATAAGGAATATTGTGCATGTTTATGCACTGAGTGGTGCATGTGTTCCCACGTAATTGTGCATGTACATAATAATAGCCCATTTTGTTACAGATTTTTTATTTATATTTTTGTTTTTTGTTTTTACATGAGTCGATGCAGTTTCACTTCACCAATCGCCACCTCAACAACATCGGCTAGTTGTCACCCTGGGTGGTAGTAAGTATTGGATACCACAGTGCAACAACGATGCAATCGTGCCTCGCAAAGGACAACAATTTCAGGGGCTTAACGATGCTATCACGTTCTATGGTGCATATGCTTCTACAGCAGGGTTTGATGTTAGACAAAGTACGTCGGTGAAAGCGAAGGATAAAACAGTGATTTGGAAATACTTGGTGTGTTCGCGAGAGGGATACAAACATCACTCAACCGTAGTCCAAACAACCCATCCAAGGAGACGCAGGGTGTCTAACCGAGTGGGATGTAATTCAAGGATTGTCCTACGAGTTGATGGACCTAATAGCTACGTCATTCAGTTTTTTGAAGAAAAGCATAATCATCCAATGATACCTGACGAGTGCAAGCAGCGATTAAAAATAAATCGGACCATGACAGCTGCACATAAAAGATTTGTACTAAATTGTATAAAAGCCAACATAGGGCCTACCAAATCATACAAGATGTACAAAGAAATTGTGGGGGGATATTCTAATGTTGGCGCCACCGATGTGGAGTTCAGAAACTTCAAGCGAGATCTCATGGGATACATTTTAGACGCTGACGCACAATTGGTTATAGATAAGTTCCATAAGCAACAAGAGATTAGCTCGGCTTTCTTTTTCCGTTACGACCTCGATGAAAAGGAGTGTCTACATAGACTTTTCTGGGTTGATCCGGTATGAAAAAGGAACTATGGGTCTTTCAGAGACGTTGTGTCGTTTGATGCAACATATCGCACAAACAGGTAAAACAGGAAAAACACCTCAATTAAATTATCCTTCCAGTATTGCACAACATGGACAGATTTATAGCACCTTATAGAATATATTATAGCACAATATAATAATACAACACGCTATCATTGTTCCTGTGTAGGTACAATATGGTGTTCGCACCATTCACTGGCATAGACAATCACGACAAGTGCATAACATTCGCATCCGCGTTGACATCAAGAGAAGATGTGAATTCTTACGTATGGGTATTCGAAAGCTTCAAAAATGCAATGGTTCAAGAACCAACATACTTAGTCACCGACCAAGATCCCTCGATTGGAATTGCTTTCTCCAAGGTATTCACACGTAGTAAGCACCAATTTTGCATGTGGCATATCATGAATAAATTGTGTGACAAAGTTGGGTATTCTCTAAATAATGACGACGACTTCAAACGGAGGCTTAATGAGATTGTTTGGAGTCAGAACATTGAACCTGACGAGTTTGAGTCTAAATGGGCTGCGAT